ATCAACATTCTTCTTTATTTGTTGGAGCTTTATGTGAAAAGCATGTAAGTAATTCTATTATGATATCTCTTTAAGTTTGGATGGAATAAAATGGCATAAAATCATCTTTCTTGTGATTGCATTTCAACATTAAATAGGTTTTGTTGTTTGTTGCTTGGTATGAAGAAATCTAGTTCTCATTCTCTAGATGCGTATGGTTTCATTAAATGACTATTTGGAGGTTGGGAAAATTTTTTGTTTCATGTTCAATAATCCTACTCACAACCTACCAAACATATTTTCTATTTTTCATTAGTTTCTTAATGCTTATGTTCTTTGAAGAAATATGTTTTGCACTATTTTGTGTTATGTTTTGGAATAGAAGAGTTGTTGAAATGTTCTCTTCTATTTAGGTTAAAGGAGTGGGTAGTTGCTTGAAATTCTTTATACTTCTTGGAAGAAGAGAAGTGTATGTGTTGGGAAGTGATACATGTTGGATGTTAGAGTTTTTGGGTGCTTGTTGGAAAGAAGATACTCTCTTTATTTTCTCTCTAGCCCTTTCCTTCTCTTTTTTCCTATCTTTCTCTCTCTACCTCTCTCTTCCTTCTTTTACTACCTTCTTCCTTCTTCTTGTTCCTTGATATGAAATGTGAGAAATGCATAAAATACTTTCAAAACTAAAAATCTAAAGGGAAAATAACCAAGCTGGTGTGTAAGCAGAAAAAAGGTACATTGTTATTTTAATTGCATTTTATTTTACTAATTTGGATATTAAATATTATCTTGCTCTAATACAATCTTCCCTCTTTTTATGTTTTACGATGAACTTTTGGGAAATCAAGGTCCTATTATGAGAAATAGACCAATCACCTTTATTAATTCTGATAGGGGTGCCACGGGAGAAACCGCCAGGTCATAGCTCCCGATGTTATAAATTTCATTAAGACTTAGAAAACCTTTAAGAAGCCTTTCTAGTGTGTGCAATCCCCTCCCCTTAGGCCCTTGTAGTAACTTCATTTTTTTAGAATGCTTTAATTTATTTTAGATCCCTAAACCTATTTACACACATGCCTATGTCCAAATGGTTAAAAATAAACTCATTTTTATCATAGATAACACAATTGACATCTAAGGACAAAAATCAAGGATTCAGTCTTAGAAAACATATACTTAGGATGCATACTACCTTTAGGATAGAAAAAATAAACATAGAAAATATAGTAACATTCGACCATAGGATTAGTGCATCACTATCTAACCTTAATTAATCATAAGTAACAATGAGTTAATAATTAAAAGCTCTTAATAAACCCATGAATAATCCAAACAAAATAAATTTAAATCTTAGCTTTTATCAGTAAAATCACAACCAATATGTATAATCAATTAAAGGTAAGATTTGAATATACACTTGATTTATATCTAATTAACATGTTAACGAACTTTAAATGAAACAAAATTTGAAATACATGAGATAAATCAGGAGAACAAATCCAAACTAAAACATGTTAAATGAAAATACTTCTAGAATTCAAACACTAATTCATTAAATTCCACTATAATTAATTGCATATATAATATAAAAATTCATTTAATTTTGAATATGAATAAGTAAGAACCGAATTGACTAAGTTAATAAAATAAGAGACTTATTAAGAGTTCAATCATAACAAAAAAATTTAGATTCTAATAACTCACCTAAAATATAATTAAATCATGAATTAATCTTTTAAAATTAGTTAACCAACCCCATAATATGCAACAAGCACATCAAATATGAATTTTTTAGGATGGACCAATTCAGGTTGTTGTGCTAAGTGTCCTAAGGAGGCCTAGTCCTCAAGCTTGATAGCACAATGCCACGAAAAATTTTTATGGAGTGTCAAAACTTTAAAAGAAATTGATAGTTAATGATTTAACCAAATAAAAATTCTTAATTTAACTATATTAACTTGATTTTTAAAATGGACTACTTCGGGCAATGAGGGTAAGTGTCCTAAGGAGGCCTGGTCCTCGAGCCTGATGGCACAACACCATAAACTAATTGATAGTAAATTTAAATAAATTAACCTCATAAACTTATAAGAAAATCATTTAATATATCAATCTTTATATTCTAACTAACTAAATTAATTTAACAAAATTTTTTACCACTAGGTAACCTGAGACTACAGGTCTATTAAGTTAGCCCCAAGGAGGGTGAAATAAATCTCACAACTCTGGTGAGCAATAAAGGTGCTAATCACAAAATAAAAAAAAATTAAAATTAATCTTAAGACATTAATATTTAAACTTAAATTAAAATTCTCCTTTTGTTTTTAACAAATCAAAAATCACAAACAACTTAAAATAATTATCCAACACAGGACATACCCAAAACCACACAACCTACTATACACAACTAAATATATTTGTTAGGACATGACTTATAGCTTTAAGTTAGGCTGATATTTTCTTTCTATCTATCTCTGTGATGTGGTGATTTTCATGTGAAACATGCACTAGTTGATTTATTATTTATGTTAGCTTTTTGTGATGATTAATATTTTCTTTCTGTGATGTAATGAACGATACATTACCCAAAGTAGCAATCTGGATCTTCATGATGTTATTTATAGATGGCCAGGCTTATGTAGGGCTATAAAATGGGGGCAAAATTTAAATGTGATAAATTGATATAATTGTTATAGGTTCTTTAGAATGTTTAGCCCTATGAATAAAAAAAGCATGGCTAATCTTACAAGTTGCTCAAAATGAGTAAATGATTGTTTTGAGATATTTGTGAATGTGATGTTTACATATAAATGGCTTAATAACATATAAGAGTATAGTTTCTTTTTCCTTTAAAAAAAAAAAAATGTAAGAGTTATGAAAGTCTATAAAATGAGGCGTTTTAATAAGATAGTAGGGATCAAAAGAGAAAAGAATGTCCCTTACATGAAATTACGTTTCATTTGGATATCCTAATGATAATGTAGCACAAGAACATTAAGGGAAGGTGACCAATAAAAGGATCAAAAAGATGAAGATCAAGAGAAAAATGACTCATTTTAAGACTTGCATCATTCTATAGGATTAGAATCAAGGTTGTTTTTGGTGGGGCCTAGCCACCACTACTATTTCAACATTTTGGGCTATATATTAAACAACAATTTCCATGGACTTTGGACACTTTTACTCTAGTTGATGTTTTGTTTTGAATTATTATTTGCATTGTTTGCACAGTAGAAATAACATGCTTTTATATGTTTCTTTCTTGCATGTGCCTAAATTTCTCTAATTGTAATTAAAATTAAAATTTTAGGAATTAAATAATATAAAAAAATAAAATTTCTAAGGAATTTGTCATAGGTTGTCTGGGGTCACATACATATTATTGCATTCTTTTTTCCTTATTTAAACACTTCCATGCATGAGGGTGGAGTTCAGATAATCTGACCTATAAGAATAAGCTGTTGAACCTAGAGAAGCCAAATCTTCTAAAAAATTATTTTATAAGTATTTTTTAAAATTTTATGCATTTTTATTGGAGACTTTAACTAGCATGTATTGCATTAAAAATAAACTAAAATTAAAATTTATTTGCATTAGTCTTAGATGCAAAACCATTCATAAATACATGGCCACTTAGGGATTTCTTTAGACATCGACCTTAAATTCCAAAAACTCAGCTACCCACCCATCTTTTATAAAGACCAGACAACATTGCATTTTATGCGATCAGGTGGTTTAGCTTGCTTTCTTTTTTAGGCAAGATATAAACCCAGATTATATTAATTTGGTCACAAATATTAATATTTTGTATATAGTACTATATCCCTTATAGATTCAGGATAAAATGCTAGTGATATTGGTGTATAACTATTTGCCTTATCATTGGGTAAGCTTTCTATCTTTTAAAGGCTATAAATTCCACCAATCTATGTTACATGAAAGCCGTCACCTCCATCTTTCTCTCACATATGTTTGAATGCAATTATCATTTTTCCACTAATGTTTTCTTCTTTAGATCGGCCGAATGATGATATGATATGTGTATGTTGGTTAAACTAAATTTAGCCAATCTTTTCCTTTGGATTAAATAGCCTTGAAATTTGTCTATATGCTAAAACCCTTGAGAGAATAATATAACATCCTTAATTAAGAGTTTCATTTGCATTCTTAAAATTTAATTAGTAAGTCATCGACCTCTTTGACATAGCTTGCACCTAAGGGAAACTAATACCAACATCAATTAAATCTCATTTTAACTGATGTATTGAATAGAGGAAATCTCATGATTTTTGGGTTATACATATTATTACCAATCGAGGAATGTAGGTAAAAGCCACTATCCTCCATGGTTAATAGTATGTATATTCTCATTTACTCTCCCATTAGCCTGCTTATATAGAGTGTAAGGGTCTATAACCGTTTTGTCCCATGAGATAGTATAATCATACTATTTGCATTTTAATCCCTACAAGCAGAATTCTTTCGGAGACCCATAGTTATCTTCCACCTCTTAAAGGGAACTCTTCTTAAACCAATCATTACAATTTATTAAGATGAGCCAGGTGCAGAATTTTAGCAACATGAGGTTGAGACATATCCTCGATGATGATCAGAGGAATGCAGATTAGCCAACCTGTGTAAGAAGGATGGATAGAATTAGCTATGTCAAAGAGGTCGATGACTTGCTAATACATGGGTAACCCCTTAAGTATGGAAGAGGGATTTTTGTATGAACATGTTCAAGTCAAACATCCCTAGCTAGTGGTAGATCTTGAGGGAGTTGGGTTTCCTCTTACTATGCTAGTAATGGTTGGCGTGTGTCTCGCAAAAGTTGAAGGATTTCATTTTGAGATTCCACATATTTTTAGATGTGATCTTCTAGGTGTGTTATTGATATTCATTCTTGAAAAGGATTACTTCCACTAAGAAATACATAAAAATTTTTCTCAGTGAGAGAAACTCCCAGTTTTCATTTAGATTTTTCAAAATTCCTTTAAATTAGCCCGTTGGCGGGATTAACGCGGAGGATGGAGGGTCGCAATCCGGCCACCTCCGATGATCAAAATGTGATACCGTGGAATGGAATTGCATCATCAACTTCAGATAAAGCTTATTTGGATAAAGTATTGAGAAATATCAATTCGACTTTGGAGATCCGAGAGCCAATTATGGAGAAGGTTGGAGTGGTTTCACCTATGGTGGGTAAAGGTAAACAAGTTATGATTGAAGAAGAGAAATCTCCTCATCATAATGAAGGCTCAACTTCGTTAGTGAGAAAGTTAATTGTTAGAAGATTCGCTAACGTGAAACACATACCTGGTATGGAAGTCGATCATTTGCCGGAAAAGGCTCAGGTTTGCAAACCAATTGTTTTTGAAAAAGCTATAGAAGGAGGAAATCATTCTAATTCTATAGTAGAGGGCAATACCAGTGTTTTATCATCTGGACAAGAGCAAGTTAATCCATGGATTAAACGTCCAAACATTAAAATGAATCTTCTGGCTTGTGGTTCCTTTCTGATGGAAGATAGATCTGCTGTCAAATTATTTGAGCCTAATGTTAAAACTAATTCAAAGAAGTTACAATTTTCCATTGTAGTGTAGGTATTTGGGAGGCGTATTCTGGTACATCTGGTTACAGCGGAGCTGAGACGTCAGTGGACGAAGTTTGTTAAATTTAATCTAGCAAGCCTTGGTTCTGACTGGGTTTTATGTTCATTCGTCTCTAAGGAGGCCATGGATAATGTTCTATCGAGAGGACCATGGTTTGTTAATGGGCATATAGTTGGGCTTGATAAATGGAGCTCAGAATTTAATCCTAATTTTCTCAAAGGGATATCTTGTCCAATCTGGATTAGAATACCGAGTTTACCGTTGTACTGCTGGGATGAAATTAATGTCTCAAGAATAGCATCTTCTGTTGGAGAATGCATTTTGATTGATGGGGATATGTTCTAATGGGGGAGGAGAGAATTTTCCAGGGTCTTCATCCAAATTTAGCTTGATCGACAGTTGCCTACTGGTATCTAGGTGGAAGGAGTTAATGGTAAATTTTTCCAAAAAGTGGAATATGAGAAAATTTTCAACTTTTGTTATGAATGTGGATGTATTGGTCATTTGAAGGAATCTTGAAATGTGGCTGAGAAGAATGCATAATCAGTGAAGATTAATAAACAGCCTTGTGGAAGTTCAAAATAGGGCATTAGTACCAAAACAATTCCAGATTTGAACTCATGGTCGTTAGTCAATTATAGAAGAAATAAAAAGAAAAACTTTGGAATGTAGAAGATGAAATTCATTCCAAAGGGAGGTGAATCACTGAAATCTATTAATGAGGAGCTTTCCAATAAGGTGATAAAAAAAGGAAGTGTATTGATGAATCTAGAAGGCATAGATAATAACCTTTGCAAGCATGGAGATGGGAAACTGGCTGAAGTTAAGAAAAACTTGCTTAAACTTGCAAGTAATCATGTTGAAGTTCGTGATTCAGTTGAAGTTGTTGTGAATTCTATTGAAGCTGAGAAGGGAGCTACTTTCCAAGCCAAAAATTTGGCAGAACAGATAGATTCTTAGGGGAATTTGGAGCTTGATTCAACCTAGATGGCCTTTTTATCGCCAGGTAATAAATTTGAGTTGTTGAACTCTTTATGTGAGGAAGGCAATGGTGTGGATATTCAGGTTGATTCCTTAGTAGAGGAATTGGAAGAAGGTGAAGTAGTGGAAAATCTTGAGGACTGTCAAAATAATGACATAGAGGCAAATGCTCAAGGCAGCTTTTAGAAGAATATTGTTAATCTGGCTGAGGAAAATACTGCTCTGAGTATCAGAAAGGCTTCTTCTCAAAAAATTAAACTTGCTAAGGAACTGAGACAATTGGGCCCATTAAATTTGGCTTCTAGGAAAGCTAGAAACAGCATGAACAAGAAAAGGGGTGGGGGAATATCCTCATTCATGTCCAAATGAGTTATATTAGCTTTTGGAATTGTAGGGGTGCTAACAAGAAAGAGACCTCCTTGTATTTGAAGGAGTATATAAGAGTTTGGGATGTATTTTTTGTGGGTATTGTTGCAACCAAGATTACTTCTCTTTCTAAAGAAGAATTTGGCAAGTTGATGGGTGAAGATTGGGATTTTATTCTACAGCCTTCTAGAGGAAATTCTGGTGGAATTCTGGTGATGTGGAAAACTGATGTGGCTTCATTTTCCTTGATAAAGACCTCGGACCAATGTGTGCTGGGGCAGCTGAAGATATTCAACAAAGGCAAGTGGATGGTAGCTACTATTTATGGTAGCAGGGAGATTCAAGGTAGAAGAGAACTGTGAAATTTTCTGGATGGAGTTAAGCAGGAAGTTCCATCTATGGTAGGAGGCGACTTCAACTGCATTCTTTCTCAAGATGAGAAGAAAGGTGGGAAGAAATTTACCTTCTCACATGGGCCAATGGAAATGAAGGCTTTTATGAATAGGAATGACCTACATGATGTGGGTATTCTTGGTTCTAAATTTACATGGTATAATAATAAGAGTGGAATTGCCCGGATTTTTGAAATGCTAGATAGATGCATGCTAAATTCGAAAGCTTTAGAAATGATCAATCAAGCAGCAGTGAGGCATTTGAATAGAATTGCGTCTGACCATTGTCCCATTGTTTTGAAATTATTTCATCAGCAATTTCATAGAACCAGATTTCATAAATTTGAAGATGTATGGCTGTCTTATTCAGCTGCAACATCGGTGGTCAAGAATTCTTGGGCTAAACCAGTGAGAGGAGATGATATGGGAGCTCTAAATAAGAGAATCTCTTGAGTACTTAAAGCCTTGTTTTTTGGAGTAAGGCTAAACATGAAAAATTGGAAGAATTCAAGGAGAATCTGAAGATGGAGATTGAAGAACTGCAGCTAGAAGAAGTATCAAAACAGCATTTTTTGGACAGCAAAGCACTGCTCCTTAGAACCAGTGTCAAATAATTTAACTGTACTCTTGTACGGTTGAATACATGGTGGAGACAAAGGGCTAAATCCAAGTGGATGAACGAAGGGGATTTGAACTCTTCTTTCTTTCATGCCTTTGCTAATGGAAGAAGGAATGGAAATTCAATCAAGCAACTGAAGAATGAGGATGGAGAGTTGATTGAAGACCCGACTAGTATAAGGAGCATTTTTTTGTAGCAAATTGAAGTACAGGGAATGCCAATTGGTCAATTGGCCTTTGAATGAGAACATCCTGAAGCAAGAAGAATGTGAAATATTGGAGGCTATTTTTTCTCTGGAAGAAGTTGAGAGGGTGATTAGAGAACTTGGCAACAAGATTTCTCCTAGAGTGGATGGAATTACATATTCCTTTTTTAAAGCATATTGGAAGATTATTGGGATGGATTTCTGGAAAGCCATCCAACTATGCATTAATTCGGGTAAAAATGTCTTCTAAATGGAAGGAGACATTGGTGGTACTTTTACCAAAACTAAGTAAACCTCTATCTCCCTCAAATTTTAGGCCTATTAGCCTATGTTTGTCAATCTACAAAATTGTGGCAAAAGTTTTGTTGAACAGATTGATGAAAGTAATTCATTGCTTAGTAACAGAAGAACAAGTGGCATTCATAAAAGGGAGGGCCTTACCTGAGCGTATGCTTCTTGCTCAGGAACTTTTTCATAAGTTCAAGTTCTCTAAATCTAAAAGGGGATTGGTGGCAATCAAACTAGATATGGAGCAGGCATATGATAGTATGGCCTGGAACACCCTTAAACAAGTGTTGAATTACTTTGGGTTTCCAGGAAGATTTTTTAATCTCATTATGGAATGTGTTACTGATCTGGTTTTCTTGGTTCAAATTAATGGAGTGGAACTGGACTAAATTAAAGGAAGAAGCGGATTTAGACAGGGTTGCCCTCTATCTCCTTACTTATTCATTCTTTCTTCCCAAATGCTTTTTTATCCAAAGGAAGGAATTTGGGTTTAAAAATTGCCCCTATGGCTCCAAGGATTCCACATTTATTATTTGTGGATGACATCTTGATCTTCTCAAATGCTGAATTGGAGAATATTAAGAAAATTAAAAAGATCACTATGGACTATTGCAGCTGGACAGGTCAGCAAATAAATGTTTCTAAACTTTCTATTATTTATAGTAAGAATATGGAAAGGAGAAGGAGGAGGATAATCTCTAAGTTCATGGGGTTCATGGAGGTCAAAGAGCTCAATTATTTGGGCAATAAAATTGCTTTAAGAAGGCTTGTGGCTTCATACTTCTCAAGTATTTTGGAAAAAGTAGCATCTAAATTGGACATATGGGGCAAGAAGCTTATCTCTTCGGCTGGTAGAGTTACCCTTATAAAATCTGTGTTACAAGCTATCTATGTCTTCTACACATCAATGTCACTGGTTCCGTTATTAGTTCTGAAGAAACTTGACAGGACGTGCAGGGAGTTTCTGTGGAATAAAAGCAATGGGGATAATGGTTTACATTATATGGAATGGAAAGAATTATGTAAACCGGAGAACCAAGGAGGCCTTGGAATTCATTCTGCTGTAGAAACGATGGAGTCCCTTAGAGCCAAACTGGTTTGAAATTTTTTTAAGAAGCCAAATTCTTTACTCAGTGAATTATTATCAACTAAATATGGTAAGAATGTCTGGGATGATGATAGAAAGCCGAGCTCTTCTTCAGCATGGAAATTGATACTAAGTGGTGCCAAGGCTTTAGGACAAATTTTGAAGTGGAGCATTAAAGATGGGGTTTCAGTAAATATTATGAAGGTCATTTGGATCCTTGATAGAAGATTGGATAGTTTGCCCACTTTCATTACAAATGAGATTGAAAATTTAACTAATCTATTTAGCTTCATTTCGAAGGGAGTTTGGGTACCAAAGAAGCTACAGGAATTCTTTGGGGAGGAAATGGTGAAAGTTATCTACAATATAAAAATTAAGGTGGAAAATCATAAAGATGCTTCAATAATTAACTCTAATTTTATTGTGCTTTGGTGTTCAATTCTTGGAAGAGTAGAAACATGCTAATTCATGAAGGCCAAGAGCTGGGGGCCATAATTATTGTGACAAATGCCATCACCTATGCATCTAATTCTCCTTCTAATCTTCATTCGGACCACTGGGGTGCTAACCAACAATATGAGCTAATTTCTTCTACTTGGCATCCCCCTCCGCCCGGATGGATTAAAGTGAACGTAGATGCTTCAATAATTAACTCTAATGAAGTAGGGATTGGAGGTATATTTAGAGATCATAAAGGAAGGATGCTTCTATCATTTGAATTCTCAGTGATGCACTGGGACATTGGATTCTTGGAGTTACTGGTTGTCCGTTCATTGAGAAGAGTTATAAGAGACTGGATGTTGAATGCTAAAGGCTTAATTGTGGAAGGAGACAACTTAAACGTCATTTCTTACTTATAAGACTAAGTTGGTCTTGGCAATCGAGCGGTGGACAATGTTGAAAAAGAGGACTTGGATTTTCTTAAGGAGTTTGAGGTAATCCTATTCCATTTTGTTAATAGAAGTTGTAATAAGTTAGCTCATTGGTGTGCTAAATATGCTTTGAAAGGTGATTTCTTTTGGGACATTCTAGAAGCCAATAAGGTTCCTCCTACTTTTTATTCGTTGTTAAAGGAGAAAAGTGATAGGGCAACTATCACTTAGCTTGTTGTTCTTATTTTTTATTTCTTTTAATGCAATTGGCAGTTCTTTCAAACAAAAAGAAATATAAAAAAAATGCTTGGCATCCCTGATCTATAGATTGATTCCTGGATTGATGTGAGTTAGAGTAAAAGGCTCCATTATTGTAATTGATATGCAGTAAGCCATTGAAAGAGGGCTTCAGTTGAGCTTATAAGAGTGGGATTAGATCCCACATATGGTGCCAAAGTATTGCAAGCTAGAATATTCATAATGATAGAGTGATTACATTTTTTTTTTTAGCTTTGCATGAAAATCCTGTATACAA